CTGTGCAAATAGGAGCGAGGAGTGTCCTGCTGCTGTCCCTCTCCTGTCTGCGCCTGTGTGTGCGACTCCATGTGGGTGTGCCCTCTCTGCCTGATAAGCCCAGCCCCAGCCACGCCCAGCTCTCTGCCCAGCCCGGAGGACATTCTGGGGTGAACTGTCTGTTCATTATCAGGAGGACCAGCTGGTGCTGCCTGCTGCACCCAGATGTCATTCCCAGCACTCCCTCGCTGCCTCAGGACATCACCCCCCCATCCTTCCCGTCCCCTGCTTGGGGACACCCTCCTGGGAGAACCTCACTTGACCCTGCACCCTTGTCAGTCCCAAGCTGTGGGCCTGTTTGTGTGTGTTCACCTAGACCCTCCACACAGGCTGTGCAGGCTGCCCCAGGGCCTGGCCTTCATGTGGGGGGTCTGCCCAGCGCAGCCTTCCTTCCCCGGGGGGTCGGCTGCCCTGTTCTTTGGCTGTTCCTGTGGCCTGCCCCTGAGGCCCAGGTCCTGCCCCATCTCGGCCGCCCTGGTGAGGGCGGCCTGCCATTGGTTTCCACGACTGTAAGAGAACAAGTGTCCAGAAGAGAATGAAGGGAGCGGGTACTGGGCTGTGTGGACGCCGGTGGTGGCTTTAGGCCAAGGGTCTTTGAGGGTGCGCTTTCCTAGCCTGGCTGCCCGAGAGGAGAGGGGTGTTCAATTTGTTGTTGACTAAGGAGCCACCCAGCAGTGGGTAAGGGTGCCACTGTCAGTCTCCTCTGAGGACAGAAGGACAGGGAGGAAGCAGGAAGCAGGGAGCAGGGATGGGTGCCCACGGCTCTTTAGCCTTCACCTACTGGCTCCCGCGCAGCTGCTGATCCTGCTCCCGTGCAGGTGATAGCCTGCCTCAGGGCCTTCGCACATGCTTCCCCTCTGTCCACAGACTGCCCACCCTAGAGGGCTCCTGCTCACAGGTGAAGCCCAAGCCAGTGGGGACCCAAGTCCCCTCCGAGCCCCTTTGTGCCCTCCCCTATATGGGCACTGCCTCCCCACTAGCCTGGGTGCTGCTCTGGGGTTAGAGGTGTTTCTCAGCTGCACAACTCAGGTCTCAGACTGAGCTCTGACCCAGAGACCCCACCTCTGCAGGGGGCCAGCATCACCTTGCAGCCCTCTCTTGGTTGATGGGTGGATGGACTGGTCATCCCCCTCTGCTGTCATGCCTGGCTGGCTCCCGCCTTGGGACCCATTCTAAGGAGTGCTTCCCGGTGTCTTCTGTGGCTCGTAGCTTTCAGAGAGCTCAGTGTTGTGCTGCTGTGAGGATTTGATCAGTATCGGCAGTGTGCAAGGTTTGGGTCTCGGATGCCTTTGCCTTCTTCATGTGGAGGCTCCAGAGATTTCTTGTGCAGGGGTATTCTTTCCCAAGGGTGGCTGGAGCCAGCTCAGACCAGCGCACAGGAGCCTGCTGACAGTAATTTTGTGAGCGTGTTGTTGAACAACCATTATTAAAATCAAATTAAACTAATTACATATGTAAAACATACAAATCACATAAAAACAAAGGTGATGAGCACTCAGAGCGCACGGCCTCCTCGTGCTTCGCATCCTCCTCTCATCTCTGGTCTTGTGTGCGCGTGCCTCGGCTGTGTCTGAGCAGTGGAGATACTCTGCGCCCCTCTTCCCACTCGGGTCCAGCAGTCGCACGCTGATCCTCAGCTCTGGGAGCGGCAAAGGCGCACCTCGGGGCTCCTCCCACAGGGCTGGCTGCTGGGTTGACTGGCCCACCTCGGTTATCTCGGATACCTACACACTAGAAATCCCAGATGGAATTTAAGAATATTTATTTATGAAGCCTCGTTAAAAGATAATGCACAAATCCCATGTTAACATAATAACACGTGCATCAACATTTTATAAAAAATAAACAGTTCTTGTTCAAAACTAAAAACTAACTCAGTGCGAGTGACACGGGTGACGTTTTTGCCCATCTCTCCAGCGTCTGGCGTACGAGGACAGGTGGGTCCTCCTGCCCTCCAAGCTCCCTCTCTCGGCGCGTTGTTTGGTTGGAGTGTTGGGGGATGTGGCCCCGCAGACCTGCCACCCTCCCACGGGCAGTGGGTGTCCTTCCCGGGGGCTGCCAGCAGCAGGCCCTTGCCAGTCTCCCTTGTTCCTGTCCTCTCAGGAGGGATCGAACCCAGGGGCTCTACGCTGAGCCCCAGCCCTTTTTAACTTATTTTGAGACAGGGTCTCACTGAGTTGCCCACTCTGGCCTCAAACTTGGAATCCTCCTGCCTCTGCCTCTGGAGCTGCTGGGATCACAGGGTGAGTCACCACAGTCTGCACTCCTGCAGGTCTCTAGAGCGGTGCAGTGTGGAATCTGAAACTATCGCAGGCTCTTTCTTAGGTTGCTACAGTAACAGGCACTGGTCTGTTTTCCACCTTGAATGGTCTTTCCCTGTGTATGGTTTTGGAATATGTCTGGTCACCTGGAAAAGATTGGTTCACTGAATTACGCAGATTTTCCAAATGTCGACACATTTCATGATGTTATCCCCAAATCCTGTCAGCATTACCACTGACCTCTGAGCAAAGCCTGGTTGCTTTGGAGCTGACAGTCACTGTGGTGGCCTCGAGTCTTGCAAAGTGCTCATTTTCACCTGAGCTTGAATTTGGAAGTCGGCCATGTCAGTTGTCACTTGCTCCTGTGGCTTCCCTGATTTTTGAGTGACAACCTTGCTTTCTTCTTTTTTTCTTTTTTTTCTTTTTTGAGACACTGTCTCACTGTGTTGGCCAGGCTGGTCTTGAACTCTGAGCTCCTGGGGTGGCACCACCCCCATCCCTGTGAATGTCCATACAGGCAGAAAGACAGCTCTTTTATTAGGAAAATGGTTTGGACCTTGTGGGTTCTGGGGACCGTAGGGTTCTGTGGGGGACACTTTGGGAAGCAGTGCTGTGTGGCCTGTGCAATGCTCTGATCTTTATCCTCTTCACTCGGCAACATGCTTTCAAGCTCTGTCCCTGTTTCTGTCCCTGCCAGCTGCTCTCCTGCTCCAAGTGCCCGTGCCCCCTGTGCACCCCACTCCCCCTGCAGCAGGCCCATGCTGCTGTGCATATCTTCCCTCCAAGCGCCCTCGGAAGCCCAGAGTGGCTTTCTCTCCATGCAGGGCCATTGTCCCAGGGCTGCCTGCCTGTGCTCAGCCCAGTGACCTCCTTGTCCAGGTCTTGCTTCCCTGGACAGAGGCCCTTCTTCTGTCTCCAGAGATCTGGTGAGTGGAGCCAGCTCTGAGAGCCCCCACTGTCTGCATGGTCTCAGGGGCAGGGAGCTGGGTTCTCTGCTCCCACATGCAGCCCGCTGAGCCGGGCAGGCAGGCTCCACACCTGGCTCCTGCTGCTCGACCAGCTTGCACGAGGCGGCTGAGCTGGCCTGGGCCTGTGGCTTCTCAGGGCCGTCCCAGTTCAGTGCTCTCTGCACCCACTAAGTCCAGGGCTGGGCAGCAGGGCTCACGGAGTGGTCTCAGGATGGGGGAGGTGGGGAGGGCTCTGAGCAGCTGGTGGCTCCTGGGAGAGGGTCCAGCCCTGGGCTCACCCACTACGCCAAGGGCTCTGACTTGCCTCCTCAGTACTGGTTTCTGGGCCATGTTTCTCTGCGCCTTGAGACCAACTCCCAGCCTGGACATCATGGATGGGGTAGGGGTACAGGAAGAAATAGGCTCTGTGTGGGAGCAAGTGTCGAGGGGCCCACTCAAGGCCGAGACCCTTCAGGGGTGGGAGGGGGCTGGAGTTCGAGACCCTGGCCCCTGGGACCCAGAGGGAGGTTGGGGAAGACAGGCAGGTAGTCCTCTTGCTCTTGAAGAGGGTCAGCCCTTGGGGGCTTGAGGCAGCAGGTCAAGGGGGCCCTGCATCAGGGCTATCTGTGCCCCAGCTTAGCCACACCAGTTGGGTGGGGGTGGGGTCTTGCCATTTCTGAACCTCAGTTTCTTTCTTTGGGGAATTGGATTTGTCTGTGGCCTAGATACCTGGCAGGGCCTGGGCAGGAGGGAAAGGAGTCCTCTTTGACTTTCCCCTTCCCAGAGGCTGGGGCTTCCACCGCTGCCTTTCCCAGGGGGCTTCCCGAGCCAGGGATGCCAAGTGAGGGTGTGTGGGCCTGCTTCCTGGGCGCTGACGCAGCAGGTGGGAGGCGGCAGGAGGAGGCTGCGGGAGGGCAGGCTGGGACTTGAGGTGGGCCTCCCTTGTGCTCTTGGGGACGCTTCAGGTGCACTGGAAGCATCGGAAACGGTAGCAGCCAGGTGGCCACCAGGACTGGGAGCCAGCTCAGGACCTGTGGCCTGAGCAGGCACATTTGCCCTCCCTGTGGGTGGAGCAGCGGGGAGCCTCGCCTCCTTACAGGGGAGCCACTCTCTCCTTCAGGGGAGAGGGTCTGCCAGTCTGCCGTGGGCTCACATCCTGGGCACTAGCCAGGCTCTCAAGGAAGGGTCAGGTGGACCTCTCCACCCTGTGCCCGGCTGGACCTGCGTGAGACCGTCAGTGAGCAGTCTCCATGACGGGAGCCAGTTCCCAAGGGCTTGAGGTTGGCATCCGGGTCAGGATCTGAGCAGAGGCCAGAGGCCTGAGACAGGAGGCACCCTCTCCTTAGCACAGGGGCCTGAGATCCTCTGGGTTGGCCAGAACCTTGTGGCCAAGCAAGAGGAGCAGGCCTGGTCAGGAATGGCCCCGCAACAAGATCAACCAGGGATCCTCCTCCCTGGCCCCCTACCTGCTGTAGGGCCTGGGAGCCGTAGGGCATGGGTGGGAGTGAGGGGCACCACTGAAGCCTGGAACGGCTTGCGGGGCAGGTGGGTGAGGGGCTCCTGGTGCCAGGTGCATCGGGCCTGTGCCAATGACTGACCTCACGGGCCTCACAGCCACACCTTGGCTTGTGGCGGGCGGCGTAGTGCAGGTGCCCAATTAGGTTCCCCAGTGCCAGCCCCGTGCAGCCCCACGCCTGGCCCGGGCTCCGGCAGGCGTGTCGAGGCACAGCTCCCGCTCCCACCGCAGCAGGAAGCTGACTCTCAGGCACCGGCAGGCGCCAGTTTGGGACGGCGGCTGGAGGTGGTGCTGGCCGCACGGGCTGGTGGTCGAGGGGCTGCAGCAGTCCAGCTGCCTCAGGAGATCCTGGGTGGGGAGACCCAAACCTGTGGGTGAGCCTGGGACTGGTGCTGGGTCTGGGGAAGGAGGGAGGCCCTGGCAGGGGGCTGGCCTGGGCCTGTGGGAGGCCTGGTGCCCACTCGCTACGCCGCTGAGCCCAGGACCCCAGAGTGCACGGCTGGCTAATCCCAGCTGACGCTGGAGGAGGGCAGCATGGGCTGGAGGGCCTGGGGCCTGGAGCGTGTGGGTGAGGGAAGGCCTCGGGATCAGAGGGAGACCAGGAGCCCTGGCTCGAGGCGGGTGTGAGGCTGGCTGGGAGCCTCCTTCCCACCTGGGCAGAGCATGACTCTGGGCATCTGGAGGGTCCAGGCCCCTGGTGTTTGAAGCAAGGGCCAGAAAGCTCCGCCTTGGGCAGGTGGGAGGGCTTCAGGCCCAGTGGCTAAGGCCTCTTCCTGGCCCCCGTCAGTCTCTCTGTGGCTCTGGGTTGGGGGTAGGGAAGGCACCCAAGAAGAGATGGCCAGGAGGGCTCTGGAAGAAGCTGGCCTGGGAGAGGCAGCCATGGCCAGGAGTGAGGAGGTAGAGAGGAAGGTCGGCGCGGGGGCTGAGCGGGGCCTGGGGCTGGGGCCTGTGGAGCAGGGTGAGAGGCTGTTTAGAGCCTGGGTGCTTTGGAGGAGCAACAGGAGCTGGGTTCTGGAGCTCAGCCAAGCAGGGCCGCCCTTGGCACATGGTTGCCTAGGAGACCCAGGATGGGGGTGGGGGGCTTCGTTCACTGCAGGGGGGAGTGGTGACTGAAAGGGCCGAGACCCTGGACCTGAGTGACAGCAGAGGGCTGGAGAGAGGGCAAAGGGATGCCCTCCAAGGGCTCCTCGGGTCTGGAGCCCAGTGGGGTCGTGGGTTCCAGGCATCGCAGGTACCTGTGCTTTGCAACCGTGCTTCTGTGAGGCTGGGTGGCCCCTGTGAAGTGGCCACTGCCTTGCTTTCCATTCTGGTCAAGCTCTGGGGAAAGTCCTAGCACAGAGAAACAGACTCTGGACCCTGGGAGGAAGCGGGAGGCTTGGTCACTGGGGCTTGTCTTCCTCTGCTACTCACCATCGGTGTGAGGTCTTAGCAGGCACCCCGTGGGCCTTCAGGGGCCCTGCACCCCTCCCAGGGGGTTTGGGAGGCGCAGCGGGGCTGGGCTGCCATCCAGCCACCTCCAGCAGGGGCCGCCCTGGTCCACAGACCTGGCTGACTGCACTGACTGTTCCTCTTGCTCTCTCTAGGTGTGTGATGAGTGGCAGACCCAGACTCTACCAGACACCAGGGGCCCTGGGAGCAGAGGGTTCTGAGAGCAGCTTCCCCTGCCTCCTGCTGACGGCCAGCTCCCCCTGCTAATCCAGGGCTGCAGCACCCCCACCGAGAGTCCTCCATCCCTCTAGGATGGCTCCCCCACCAGCTGGCCCCCTGGTCCCTGCTCCTCCACCTGAGGATCCAGGACCCAGTCTGGACAACAGGTGGCTTTTCCTGAATGCCAATGTCCTGCCTGTGGGTGAGTGAGGCCATGGGCCTAGGTGCTCTGCCCTGAGCTGGAGAGCACAGTTCTTTCCTGCCAAGGGACTGTCCTTATAGGCCCAGAGATGATGTGATTCTTGTGATGTCACCTGGGAAGAAGGGGCCTCTGCCAGCTCCCCTAGAACAGGGATGCTTCCCTGGGCGGGGTACACAGTGCAGGGAGGCTGGTATGTACCTGGTGCTTCTTGTGGCAGTCTACCTGGCTGGACACAGAGCACATGCTAGGGCCCACCTGGGAGAAGGGTTTGACTAGCTCCTGGGGTCAGCTCTCTGTCCCTTACGCATTGCCTGGTGCCTGGGCACAGGCAGAGGGCATCTGGCCCTGCGGTGGGGGGCTTCTGGTCAGGTGGATGCTCAGGAGGTGGCGGCCGACCCTCTCCGCGCCCGAGTTTCTGTTTGCCTGGTGCTCTGTGGAGGGCAGGTCTGCCTCTGCCTGCTGGGTGTGTGCGTGTGTGTGCACCCTGCACCCTGGGCTTGCAGAGCCGGCTCCGGCTTGCTCGACCCACATTCTCCAGATGTGCCTGGACAGGCCTCTGCACCGGGGGTGGGAATGTGTCTGCCCAGCTGCACAAAGTTCCTGCTGGGCTTGGGCCCTCATCACAGCTCTGCCTGCAACTGGACACCAGGGAAGGGGCAGCTGGATGGGGGAGGGGAGGCAAGCAGAGCCCTCCCCATGGCCCTGTGGGGGAGCCAGAGGCCCTGGGTGCAGACATGGGGCCAGGGCCAGGTCCAGGTCCAGGAGGAGGCACTCCTGTCAGTACCCGCCTCGTCACTGCCCTGCCCCCGTCCCCTCCCCATGCCTGGTTGGCTGCTCCGAGATCAGGTAGGTCTGCTGTGGGGTGCCTGGCCCGGGGGGGGGGGGGCGAGGACCTGATCTGGCCTGGAGGTGTTTCCAGAAGGCTCCCTGAGGTAGCCCCACTGAGCAGTGGGAAATTCCCAGCTGAGAGGGCAGGACTGTCAGGTGCCCTGGCGGGCCCATGGGCAGGCCAGCTGCTGCCTGGAGGTCATCCTGGCAACGCAGCAGCTGCTGGCTTCTCTCTGCCAGTGTGGCCCCTTCTTGGTGCAGACTGAAGCGGGTCCTGGTCGTTGGACAGCGCCTGTCCTACTGACGCAGGCTCAGTTTGTGGGCCATCAAAAGGCCCCAGTGTGTGCCGGGTGGGGTGGGGTCCGCAAGGTGGGTTTAAATGGAGCCTGCCCCAGGCACTCTTCTTGGACTCCTGGCTTCTCCATCCATGAGGGGACCGGCTGAGGCAGCGAGGCCACTGAGAGGCAGGAGCTGGGCCTCCACCCTTACCCCTGGCAGGCCACTCCAAGGGGAGAACTGAGCTCTGGGGCTGGGGCGGGGGCAGGGGGCAGTGGCTACAGCAGGGGGCAGTGCTGGAGGCTGCTCTGTGGTCCTTCAGGCCATGGCCGACAGGCCCCATGCAATTTGTCCGACCTGGTTCTGGTGTGTGGTGGTCATGGGTTTCATTTAGAGGGGTTCATCCACTGCAGACCAACGGGTGGGGACGTGCGTGAGCTGCTGGCATGTGGGCAGGTCTGGGGCTGGCAACCCTGCCGTGTGGCTATGGCCTCCTTGCCAGAGGAGGGGGGTGTGCTGCCCTAGGCGGGGTCCCTCCCTGCCCTGACTGGTCACTCATCAGGCTCTGGGATCATCACCACCTCCTCCTGGCACCCACCCCCTGGTACCACTGGGGTGGTCAATGGCAGAGGCAAAAGTTTGGAACTGGGGGGTGCTGAGTTGCACGGACATGGGGCACTCCCTGATGGGCCGTGGGTCCCCAGCTGACCTCCCGGGGAGCTGTCAGGGCGGTCACTCTCTTTCCAGGCAGCCTCCTTCCTCTTCCCCAGGGTGGCAGAGGTGGGTGGCCTCTAGGCAGCTGCCCCGCCTGTTGCCCCCCTGCCTGTGTCTGCCTGTGCCTCCCCACCTTCCATGAGGTAGGGCTGTGTCCCTCAGGGAGGAGCTAACAGCTGGGCGGCTCTGCAGTGGACAGTGCCCAGTGGGCTGGCGGGGGCTCTTTAGGCTGCCCACATTCTGAGCCAGCAACGCAGAGGGGCTCCTTCTACTCAGGCCTGCCAGATGAGACCCTGCCTCAGCCACTCCCGTGCTCCTGGTCGGCGGCAGGTAGGGCTGGCTAAAGCTGCAGAGCCGCCAGACAGTGGCCCCCACTAACCCAGGGGTGCACAGCTGACCGGGAGGACCAGCACTCAGACTGCCACTGATGGGACAGTCTCCGGGGGTCGATGGCATGTGTGCCAGGAATGCTGGCCAGTGCCCTCCTCGTCCTGGAAGTGCCGGGGGGGGGAGGCTCTGGCCATCAGGGCTGCGGGCCAACTGGGGTGCGTCCCTCGTTAGAGCTGGAGCTGGCCCTGAGGCTGGGGGAAGGGAGTCCACCCAGGACATGTGTCCCCAGGGACTTTCCCATTTCAAAGGTGCTCAGATCTGGGCTCCCCGGGGCTTCATGATGGTGCCGAGGCTCTCTCATGTTTGTTTTCTCACTATGAAAGCAAGACTAGCTCAGAGGAGCTGCTCTGGAAAGTACAGAGAAGCATAAAGAGCAAATGAGATCTGCCGACAGGTCCCCGTGTCTCTGAGCCTTTGTGTGCGGGCCTCTGCTGTGATCTGGCCAGCTTTGACCCCTGTTCCCCCGCCCCAGTGCCGGTCCGTGGTGAGCCCCGCCTGGGTGCTCAGGATAGGGCCTTGGGTTGCTTTCAACATTCGGGTTTTCTCCTGGAGTCTGACGTTAACAGCTGCCTCTGGTGTTAGTGGGTGCTGCTCCCTCCTGGCCCTCATCACCAAGCAGCTCAGGAGCTGGTTCTAAGGGAGAGTCCTGCGGGCGAACGGCCCTGCTGTGGTGCTGGCTGTTCCTGAGCAGCATTCAGTGCACCCAGGTTCCTTGAAGCTCCGCCTTGAGCTTCTCACTGAGGAAGAGAGAGGCCCCTGTTGAGTGACAGGTAGAGCTTGCTGGGAGGACTGGCCTGGAGCCCCTGGGGAGCCCCAGCGCCTTTCCAGTGTCAGCCCCACCTGGTGGGATGTGAGAGGCTTTTCTAGAAGGAGGGAGGACCTGTGGGTTGACCTGAGGGCCGTCCCAGGGGAAGGTGGCTCAATGCAGCTTTTCAAATTAGTGGCTCAGGGTTTCCTGAGGCTGGAGGCTGGAGGCCAGGCTAGAGGCTGGATGGATGTGTGTGAGGCGGGGGCCACATGTGTGTGGGGGGTCCCCGCAGGGATGGGGAAGGGCCTGGGGCCTCAGTGGGATTCTTTGTGCAGGACAGAGCTGGGAGCAGCCAGTGGGGTGCACTGTATCAGATCACAGCTCAAGTGGCCTCAGCTGTGATCCTGAGGAGGGGTCTCATAGTCCTTGGGGGATGCTGATTAAGGCTGAGAAAGGGCAGAGGAGGCAACAAGCCATCTGGGGGACTGCGGTCCAGCGGCCACTGCAGCAGGAGGCCTGGTCCCTGCCTGGTGCAGCCCCAGCCCTGTGTGGACTCAGTGGAGGGCCATTCCAGGGGGAGAGGGGCTCACTCGCTGCCTGGGACTAGTGCTCTGAGCTTCTCTCCCTGTGGCCAGGAAGGGGCGAGGGGCCCTCATCCTCCCCTCCGGGCACTCACTGGGCTGGGATGGAGGAGGTGTGACCCAAACCCAGGCGACTCCCATCCGCCCGCTGCTCTGCACCCTGGGCTCTTGACCCAGTGGGCACAGGTGGCTGCCTGCATGGCACAGCTTCTCCTGACCTTGGCAAAAGGGGCAGGGCTGGCCTTCTGATGGGTGGGGGGGTGAGGGTCCGCTGAGGGGAGGCATGGGCAGCATGGCCATTCAGTTCCAGAGCCCCAGAGGGCGCTCCTGGACCTCTACCAGAAGGCACTGGGGGCTCTGAGGGGCAGGTGCACCTTAGGTGGGGGTGTGGGTGGGTGTGCCGTCCTGCTCAGGTCCCTCCCCAGGGGAGTCCAGAGCCCTGGGCTTGCGTAGGGCTGGCTGGGACCTCTGGCCTTTCCCCTGAGGGTCAGGTACACTGTTGGTGCTCAGTGCTGGCTTGGGATTCTCAGGGGCTTAGATGGCTGGGCCCAGCTGGCAGAGGAGGGGGCAGCGGGTGCAGACCTAGCTTGTGGATCAGGAGTCTTCAGGACGTCTTCTTAGTTTTTGGCACTGGGGATTGAAGCAGGTGCACTTAACCACTGAGCCACATCCCCAGCCCTTTTTATGTTTTATTTTGAGACAAGGTCTCACTGAGTTGCCTAGGGTCTCGCCAAGTTGCTGAGGCTGGCTCTGAACTCGCGATCCTCCTGCCTCGGCTCCTGAAGTCTCTGGGATTACAGGCGAGTGTCACCACACCTTGCTCAGGTCTTCTTTCTTCCCAGCCTCTGGGGGGTGGTCAGGCGGTAGCCAGGTAGCAGGCTGCACCCCCTTTCCCTTAGTGTGGTTTCCTGTTCCGCAGACTCAGGTTCACCCCACCAGCCCAGCCCAGGAATGCCCAGCTCGGACTGGGACCTGCTGTGGCCACTCAGATGGCTTTTCCGATCTCAAGCCCCTCGCCATGGGTTCAGACGCTGGCCAGGCAAACAGCACCCACCCTGCTGATGTCCTCAAGCCGACACCCTGGGGACAACCTTCCGCCAGGGCACCTGGAGCACTCCTTTGTCTGGCCTGCTTGGCTCCACCTCTGCAGTTGGCCCCGTCGGAGCCACCCAGGCTTACACCCCCCACGTGTGTACAGGGACTCACCTTGGTCTCCGAGGCCCTCCATGGCCTGACCCCTGCCTGCCTCAGCAGCCTCCCCCAGCCCCTCCTCTGCCCCACAGCGTCCAGGCCCTGCCCTTCTGAAGGGCCCCTGGTGTCTGCTGCCCCAGCTTTGATGATGTGCTGGGTGCTTGTTTCACGCTGGTCACAGGGTCACGCTGAACTCTTAGCTGCCCAGTTAAGAGCCCTGGGGACGCTCAGAGCGTACTCGTCAACAGTCGCAGGATGAACGAGTGAACGGG